CATGGAACGCTGATCACCTAAAGTACTATTACAAGTAGACTCACATTGTACAAGTGTTGAGTTATAACCATTCGGCATATTTTGTAAGGAAGGCCATCTGGCACGAACTTAATAAAGAGGTGATTCAGACAACTTCGTCCAAACTCTTTTACGTTCCTAGAACTGAAACACTTGGTCTTACCCTGACCTAATAAAATTCTAACTCAAAACTTCAACTTAAATGACATTACATACTCGAGTTTGAAGCTTCAACATGAATGCTTTCAACATGAAATAAAGTCTAAGTATCTGTTAACAAGACTACCCAAATAAACAAATATCTTCAAGGTGTATCAATTCAATTAGACCCAAGTCATGGGTTATATCAAAGAAGGGATCTATTCAAACATTCATAAATTATAGTGCAAACATTTCGCACTTAACATCAAAATAAACGGTGCAATGTTGTAAACATCCGTACACAAAAAGCCTTTAGGCACTTAACTAGTGCTGTAGGAAGTGAAGGCACTACGAATCAGCCTCATCTGAGGCTGAACTCTCATGTTGTATCTCGCCTCCATCGCCATCATCGACATCCTCAGTATCTCTGGGACCATCCTCACCCTGCTGAGTCTGCTCATCAGCACTGGTGTCATCCTCAGCCTCATCATCGCTACTAGGATCGAGTTCAAGGATGAATTGTTAACCATTTTGTTGATGCTCCTCTATCTCTGCACGGTACTTGTCAATAATACCTCTACCGTCATACTGATCAAGCATGGCCATCCATTTCCTATTCTCAAGCCGAACCTTTCGGGCATAGTGAAGCTTGATGACATGGCAGAAAGCCTAGGAGCATAAGAACTCCTGCCCAACAGTATCCCTCTTAGCTGGGAAACTCTTCTTCAACTCTTCAACCTCCCTTTTGGCCTCGGAAGCCTCGAGGATAGTCACCTCCAACTACTTCTTGAGCTATAAGTTCTCACCATTCCGTCTCTTCAACGTCTCTATGGTTTGGTCTTTGAGCTGGACGACCTCAGTCAAACCTTTACTCGTTTTCCTGGCGTCATCCACAAGCTGTTTGTTCTCTTGAAGCTTTGCCCTACATCGTTCAACCTCTCGCAGTCTATCATTGTACTCAGTCATCACCTATGTATTGTTCTAATGAAGGTGGCTATAGCTGATTTCTCGGTTTTGTGTTTTTTTTTTTTTTTTTTTTTTTGTCGTTAGGCCTTAGCTGTATTGTTAGGCTCGTGTTGGTTTGTTTGGTTATCTACCAAATCCCCCCACCCCATTTCCAGATTCACCCACCCCTTCTCTCCTCTTCCCCAAAAACCCATTCCCTTCCGCCACCTCCAGATCTCCAGCTCACTTTCCCCTAAAACCGCCACCACAATCGCCACCACCACTAACCCTCCAAACCCAGAGGCCAAAATTTCCCGGTTTACCTCTGACGACCCTAGAGAAGGCTCCAATGTCTTTGTTGAGGCCCTCGGGCGCCAAGGCGTCACAGACGTCTTCACCTACCCCGGCGGCACATCGATGGAGATCGACCAGACCTTCACTGGTAGGATGCCAGATGGCATCATCTTGTGGTGACAGTTAGAGTTGAGTATTAGCATAAGTAATACATTGTAAGAAAATAAAGGCATTGATTGTTTGTATTGTTGTTCTGTTATCCCATCTCTGTGCAATTGTGGAAGACGTAGAGTAGGGTTCTAACACTAACGCACTCCTCTTCCATCCGCAATGTCCTCCTGCCCCACGAGCAAGGCGGTGTGCTCGCAGCTAAAGGCTACACCCGTGAGTCGGGTTGTCATGGTGTGTGCATTGCCACCTCCAGGCTTGGCGCAACGAACTTGGTTAGCGGCCTTGCCGAGGCACTCATGGACAGCATACCGATGGTGACAATCACCGGCTAAGTACCCTGGCGAATGATAGGCACTGACGTCTTCCAAGAGACCCCAATTGTTGAGGTAACAAGGTCAATCACTAAGGACAATTATCTTGTTATTGATGTAAAAGACATTCCTGGGGTTGTTAGGGAGGCCATTTTCTTAGCTACCTCGGGTCAACCCGGCCCGGTTTTGATTAATGTACCTAAGGATGTGCAGCAACAGATTGTGGTTCCAAATTGGGATCAACCCATTTAGTTACCTGTGTACATGGCTAGGTTGCCTAAGTCCCCTAATGAGGGTCACTTGGAGCAGATTGTGAGGTTGGTGTCTGAGTCCAAGAAATCGATTTTGTATGTTGGTGGAGGGTGTTTGAATTCCAGTGAGGAGTTGAGGCGGTTTGTGGAGCTCATCGGGATCCCCGTGGCTAGTACTTTGATGGGTCTCGGTGCATACCCGTGCAATGACGAAGACTTGTCACTCCAAATGCTTGGGATCCACGGCACTGTTTATGCTAATTATGATGTGGATAAGTCTAATTTGTTGCTTGCATTTGGAGTGAGGTTTGATGATCAGGTTACTAGGAAGCTAAAGGCATTTGCTAGCCGAGCTAAGATTGTGCACATTGATATTGACTCGGTGGAGATTGGAAAGAATAAGCAGCCTCATGTGTAGGTGTGTGGTGATGTAAAATTGGCATTGCAAGGGTTGAATAGGATATTGGAGGGAAAAGAGAGCAAGGTTAAGCTTGATTTTTCGGCTTGGAGGGCGGAGCTGAAAGAACAGAAAGTGAAGTTTCCATTGGGTTTTAAGACTTTTGGGGAATCCATTTCTCCATAGAATGCCATTCTAGTTCTTGATGAGTTAACTGATGGGATGCGATTATAAGCACTGGTGTTGGACAACACCAAATAAGGGCAGCTCAGTTTTACAAGTACAAGCAGCCTCGGCAGTGGTTGACATCAGGGGGATTAGGAGCTATGGGTTTTGGATTGCCTGTTGCTATTGGGGCAGCTGTTGCAATCCCGGATTCTGTTGTCGTTGACATTGACGGTGATGGAAGTTTCCTTATGAATGTCCAGGAATTGGCAACGATTAGTGTGGAGAAACTTCCTGTCAAAATAATGTTGTTGAATAACCAACATTTAGGTATGGTTGTGCAATGGGAGGATCGCTTCTACAAGGCAAACAAGGCACACAATTACTTGGGGAACCCAGCTAATGAGTCTGAAATATTCCCAAATATGCTCAAGTTTGCAATTGCTTGTGGGATACCGGCTACCCAGGTGACGAAGAAGGAAGATCTGAAAGCAGCAATTCAGAAAATGTTGGACACTCCTGGTCTGTATTTGTTGGATGTAATAGTGCCCCATCAAGAGCATGTCCTGCCTATGATTCCGAGTGGCGGTGCTTTCAAAGATGTGATAACGGAGGGCGATGGGAGATCAAGTTATTGATGTTGTGGGCTGAGCAGCATCTGCTATTGATGCGTAAGAGTGTAATATAGAGGTGTACGTAGAAGTTTTTAGTTTATGTGGTAGTATTACCTTGAACCAGTTAAAGTTATTTGTTATCTGTTAGTTATAACATCTCTTAGTTAAACTTGGAATTATTTTTAGGATTAAGTAACTAAAACCCCCAACCTTTTAGTGTCATTCTAAATTGGTCTAAACTTTTTCAAATATTCCAAATAAGTACCCAAGCTATTAAAAATGTCACATCCGTTAAGTCCCAGGTAAAAATCTGTCAAATTAACTAAGGCTAACTTTGTCTCTAAAATCAATAAAAGGTCATAGGAAGTATAGCTTCCACCAACTAAAAGTCACCACCACCTTCATCAGGCTATCACCTCCAAATCCAACGCAAAACCACCAACTCTACCTACTACTCAAGCCGTCAACATCGAGAACAAGGTCGTGGAGGTTGTTGAAGTGGTATGGATTGCTATGATGTGGCCACCACCATTTTCACCGCCCACAAAATTGGAAGCTTTAACGAGCCATAATCAGCAAATGAGAAAATCACATGAGCAGGAAACAAACTCCTTGAAGCCCTATCTAAATTCTTAACCATGTTCTTTGTTAGGAGATTGCCCGCTTGATATAATTTCAAATTGGGTCGATTTTTATTCAATTCAATACTCATTTAATCATTTAGTTCCATATTATATAATCTCCATTTGAAATTTAGTTTTTGAGGCAACTAATATTAATGTTGATCATGATATTCCCAGTTGGTTGGTTATGAATATAATATATGTTTGAAAATTTGATTGGGGCTTAGTGAATGCGACATTTTCAATAGGTTGAGTACTTGTTTGAAATGTTTAAAAATGTTTAGACTAATTTGGAATGACACTAAAAGGTTTGCGAGTTATGGGTACTTGATCCTTATTTTTGAATGAGGATCCTCTCCGGATCCCCTTTGTGAGGGTCCTGAGGATCCTCAAATCGTGTCCGTTCATTGTACATTGTGCGGCCATAAATTATTTTAAATACTTTTATTTAAAGTTAAACATGAACAACACCTAACAAAAACTAACCGTATGATGTACAATGAACAGACACGATTTAAGAATCTTCGGAATTCTCACAAAGAGCATCCGAAGAGGATCCTCATTCTTTATTTTTTGCATTTGTTTTAAGGGAGTTATGTCTTGTGTCTGACTTCTGTTTTCTTATAAATTTCGGCCTCCATTTTTATGTACTCGTAGGCGTGCTTTTTGCTATGCCCCTAAACTCGAGTTTATTGATTCGTAGTTTCACTTACGGAAACTGAGAATAAACTAAACTCAAGTTTTAGGGGCAAATCACACCTTCGTTAAAATAAACTCGCGTTTTTACAGTTGAATCAAACTTTCATTGAATTAGTGATGTGGTACTCGTAGTGCATCTTTATTTGGAACCCGAAATTGCACTGTATCCAAACACATCCAATATCAATCGTAACTAATACATACCCTTGGTTCGAACGGGAGCAATAGCCATACTGTATGAATTCATACTGTAAAAACATGCTACTGAATCCATCGCTGGAGACCATCACATTCAATACTTCTTTATCGTTTTACGCACGATCATCCCTCCAACATTTTATTGGTTAAAAAGTACAACGATAATCATCAAGTAAGCGAATCCAGAACAACACAAATTTTGATTAAACGAGAAAGAGACAAGGTCACAAGGTCCCAAATTTCAAAAACAAGAAAATACATGTATCATGGTTTTACAGAAACAAGGAACACATGAGAACTAAAAGCTAATGCTTTCTTAAGGTCCGCTGCATCTACCATCTGTCTAACTTGATCTTCAGCATGACCTGCAATCATACGGGAAAACAAAATCAGTCCCCAACCCACGTCATATCCTACAAGCAAAGATATGAAATGTGTTTCTAACACTCCTAACCAACTCGCTCACCTACGGTCTGTAATCCATAGTATAACAACACCTAAATGAAATCTATGTAATTATACATGAATAAATCCAATAAACATGAAACTAACAATAATACATTCAAGATATATGAACATTGGACCAATTCTTACACAGAATCAATATTTGTGTTAATCGTCCTTGGCTCGATATCAGCTTCCTAAGGCTATTTCCAATGGACTGGAAATTTGGAGTTGAAATTTATATTCGACTCTAATCTTGACTCAATCCTTCTCTAGTGCCCCGGAAAAGTTGGGGTCATAAATGATTTTGGTGCTATGTTTAATTTTAAACCTGACTTAATCCCTCTATAATGCAAAGAGTAAAAGCTTATGGTCAAATTTGACTCCGTATAAATCTGACATATTAATAATTTCACCACCAAATTTGGAGTCAAATATGACTTTATAACTTTTAACTTGTTTTTTAGATTGGATAAGTCAGAATATTATATCAAGAAAGCCTTATCCCACTAAGCGGGGTCGGCTATACGAATCCTAGAACACCATTGCTAGTACCACATCCATTTCTACCCAGTATCAAGCAGCAACGCAAAATGGCTACCCGTTACAAACCCTCGAATTAATCGCAACAGGGTAAAAATCTCAAAACCAAGAACAATGCACACATCTAAACAAAAAGTTGGTAAAAGTATCGACATTAAATAACCATTTCAGTTGTACCGTCAGATAAGACAAGCCAAGTATGTATATGCAAACTCAACCGATACGTTCCTGATCGAAACTTTAGATTGTTCATAAAAATTGAGCAAACAACTATCTGACATTCAATTTCCAAGGCATGGCAAATACTACAATCGATCCGAAATCCAAATCCAACATAAAAACAACCTAATTACATAATGCATCGATCGAGCATGCCAATCAAATCTCCACAATTTCTATCAACAATTTGAATCAATGAATTAGAGCAGACCAAGACAGAGATCCAACAATTACCTAAACAGATCCGACGATGATGTTGTTAATGGGGATGAAGATCAGCTTCACGAAGAACCCAACGAATCCCATCACCACGAACCCAATCGCTGTCCGAAGCGCGACCTTGGAGAATTCTACACCACAATCAACCATCAAATATCATCAATGACACATGGATATCAGAGAATAAAAAAGTCCTAATTTCTGCATAACCAGATCTGGGAAAACACAGATCGGACCCGAATATTGAATTACCTTTGCGATCGGGCTTGTGGCAGCGCTTGACGAGGCGAATGCTGTCCTTGGAGAACTCTCTGAGCGGATCTACCACTGAGTCGATGGCGTCCATTTTCTATGAGCAAATTGGGAGAGAGAGGGAGAGAGACAGAGATGTAGGAGACGCAGAATGAGTCGGAGACGAAACGCGTTAGGGCATTGGTCAAAAGTGGAGGGTTTTGTTATGTTTTTGTGCTTTTTTTTTTTTTTTTTCTTCATTTTCTTTTGGGCTACTGAAAAAGGCCCAATACGACAAAGAGTTCAGGCCCAAATATAGCAAACTCAAAACCCGAGCTCTAACTCGATGTCGCAGCCATCCGAACACTGTTGGGGACAGGTTTTTTTTGTTTTTATTTTTTGTTTTTTTTGTTTGAGCCAACGATATTATCTACACTAAGGGGGAGGAGGTGGGTTTAGCCTCACAATGGGCTAGCAATAATATGGTTCAAATTCGCTTTTGGCAAGAATTGAACCTAAAACCTCTCACTTGCAAGTGAAGAGAAATGCTACTAGACCGTAGTACTAAGTGGTTAATGGAGACGGGTTTAGGAGTACAATATGTGTGTCCAGCCAAGAAAGTGTGACCCTTTTTTCTTCTCCAAACCAGTTTTTACTTTAGAGCGATTTCTAAGGTGTGGACCATATTTTGCGAACCTTGTGTGCGGACAGGATGTGACCCGTTGCATGAAATTTGAACTGCTGAAAACGGATCCATCATAATGAGCTTAAAGTGAAATCGGGTCATAAATGACCCGTCACTTAATAAAAAGGGTACCTGACATGAATTTAAAATTTGTTGGGATTTAAACTCCGCCCCTTACGCGGACATAAACACTTACCATCTTTAATTTGTCTTGACCTCATCCCAAAACTCTCTCACTCTCATGCTTTTGCTCAAACATCATTCCCGTTCCAAACTCAGTTATAGTTGGTATGTGCTTGTGCTCTCCAGCCTCACTGAAATTTCAAACAACAGTGAAAAAAATTAGGGGAGTTTGGTTGAAAGCTATGCAGTAAGGTTCCACATAAAAAGACGTTCTTTTCACTTTATTCGAGTTGGGTTCAAAGTGCTTCCGCGATAACCGACATCATACTTGATTTCCCCCAGTGAATTTCAAATTTGGTAAGTTTTGAAAATGGAACCGTAGAATTTAATTTTGCTTTTTTCTTTTACGTATTATAAATTAAGTTAGGTATAAGGTTAATGATGCATGTTCATTGATGTAATTAGTTGGAATTGGTGGATATATGTGAAATTTTTGATAAATTTGGGTGCGTTGTGAAGTTATGAAGCTATATTGACAGGTAGTATAGAGGTTGGGCCATTATTTATTGTCTTGGTAAAGTTGTAGTTTCGAGATGGAACTAATTTTTGTATCTGAATTATTGTTAATTTGATACTGGGACTTGAAATGCTTAAGTAATGATGCTCTGTTCACAGTAGATATATAGCTATGAAACTTTGGTGATAGGTTGTTGATTGTTGGTGTATTGTCATGTGTACAGGATATGGAAACCTAAGGTGTCCAACTAGTAACCAGAGAAGATGCGTATAGAGGAAGGGTTAAAAACATATCCCAAGCCCCTTATGTGTTAAGATTGATTAGGGAGAAGTTTAATGAAGAACAACTTGGTGCCTTTAGGGAATCCTGCTTTGGCCACCTTTAGGGCGTGTACGAATTGGATTTCAATGGGCAATTGTTCCATGAGTTGTCACTATGTAGAGTGGCAAATCAAGGGGTTAAAGATCAAGAGGGGCTAACCTATTTAATAGGTTGTGAATTGACCCAGTTCACAAAGCAAGACTCCTGCCTTATTACCGGGCTAAGATGCGACGAACCCCATGATATAAAGGTTGAGCCATAAAGGATTAGGCTACTGAGGGTGTATTTTCTTGGGAAATTAAGGTTGGTAGGTGAAAGTAGCAAGGGGAAGAAAGAAAAGAGAAAAAGGTAAAGCCTCTAAGAAAGTCACCAAAAAAATATATGTGACTTGAGGGGAGCTTGAAAGGGCGTTTAAGGAGTGTAAGAATAGGGACAATGCCTTCAAGCTAGTTCTGGTATACTTTGTTGAGGCTGTATTGATAGGGGCAAAGAACAATGTTGTTGTGATTCTATACTACCTCCACCTCCTGGAGCATATGGATAGGTTTAACAACTTTGCATGGGGTTCCATCTCCTTTGGACAACTTCATGACAACCTTTCATTTGCTGCTTCAAGGAGAGGTAGAGATAGAGTTGAGAGGATAGTAAGGGAGATAAGAAGGAGGAATAAGAGGAATAAGAAGTTAGGAGAACGAAGAGAGCGCAACGGTCTGGATGAGGCTGCAAAGTACTTTCATACGCTTTTAAGGTAATATATGTTGCTTACATTGGTAATATTGGCTTTGTTAATGTGATTGAGTATTAATTTATTGAGGAATACGTGCAGGTGTGGCATACGAAAAATTTCCCAACTTGAAAAGCCTCTACATTACTACTAGATGATGAATTCGGCTGTTACACCCAGAATTTTACGATGGAAGACAATAAAGAAGCAGCTGATCCATGAGAAGCTATAGTTGTATACAACCGAAAGTCGAGAGGTATAACTGTATTGCAAAACTTTTGAATTTTATGAATGAAAGTGAATGTGTGTGAATATTGTATGTGTGATAAATGTATTTATGATGCATGGCTTTAAATGGTAGGTTGTAAGGATTAGAGAAATTGTTCTGACTAAAGTGGAGAGGAACAAAGCGTACTGGACATGGGGCGATGATATGGATGTTGTGATTCATGAGAACTTGACTCTAGACACAATGATGTTGTTGAGTTGAAACTGCAGATCAAGGAGTTAAAGGTGTCATTCGCGCGGTTGGCCCACGAGAAGGATATATCAAACATGATGATGCTGAAGAAAGTGGAATAGCTATCGAAGGTGGTGGTGGAATTAAGGAAAGTAGTGAAGGAAAAACATGTAGAGGAGAATAACGAGGAATAAGAAAGAAAAAAAGATGTGGGAGAACAAGCTAAAGAGGAAAGACAAGAAAAAGAAGAGGGAAAAGATGAAGAGGCAAAAGAAGGGGAATGAGATAAAGAAGAGGAAAAAGAAGAAGAAAATGGTGGTCAAATTGGCAGTAATGAACAAACTTTGTGGAAGAAGAAGAAGATAAGGCAAAAGAAGAAGAAGAAGAAGAATAAGAAGAAGAAGAAGAAGAAGAAGAAAAAGAAAATGGTGGTGAACAAGGAGGTGGTGAAAAAAAAAAGGTTTGGAGAGAGGGGAGGAAAAACTAGTGGATAAGGGTGGGGATCAAAATGAAGGCAAATAAGGGAAGGTGAGGGATCGAGATGGAACGAGGTAAGAGAGGTGATGGAGTTAGAGAGAAAGAGAGATAGGTGAGGAAGACAGAATGGAACAAAGAGAAAGAGAGAATAAAGTGAGAGGGAAATACGGAGAGGGGACATGGGATGACATGCCCGACCTTGATATTCTCCCAAACATTAGGGTAGGCACGTGTTGGTCGACACCCGAAGGTGATGAAGCTAGCACGTGCCTACCCTGATGTTTGGGAGAATATCAGGGTTAAGCGTGTCAATTTGATATCAAAGCGTGGTTTGTTCAGAGCATACTTAGGATCTTCTGTCACTATAGTAGTGTGTCGGTCATGACATCATTTGGATGTCACGATTTTCGGATTTGTTGTCTTTCGGCATGGTTGTGTAACCCTCATACTACATGAATAGTCACATCTTATGGAAGAAGAAGAAGCACGTGTCGAGATTGTGCCTCATCAGTGACGAATTAGTTTGTTGGATGACTTTTAACATCGGACCAATACTCTATAACATGCATTCCCTAAGAATTACAGGCGAAGTTGGATCTACATAGGAATGTTGGGAAACAGAAAAATCTTAGTGGTTTGAGTTTAGAGATCTAAAACGATGATGTCACTTTGCGATATGCGTTCCCTAGGATGGCGGGCAGAGTCACATTTATGTGAAACTATTCGAAACTTTCGAAGTGTGTGTTGGAGAAAGCGCTAGTTGTGACGACATCTAGTAAGTGGTAGTTGGTGGGATCGAATAAATGTTCTCGGACTCGTTCTTACTGAGGAAATTCGTGTGTTTAGAACAATTCTGGGCGATTGTTCTAACAATAACCTTCTTGCTTACTCCAATGACAAAGCCAAGTTCCTTAACCATCAATTGTTAGCTTCACACCAAATTCTGTGAGCGTTGACTTCGTTTAGATTAAATACTTTGCTTGGGAGACTTTTCGGTAACAGACGCTATTCTCATCAATTTCCAAAAGGGGTTGCGACCATTGGAAATTGAAAATCCTCACAAAAAGTTGTGAAATACAAATTATCCTTGGACTTGTTTTGACCCGGTTAACTTGACCTAACCCAGACCCGTTGACCCGATCAACACTGACCGTTGACTTTGACTTAGACCGGTCAACGTTGACTTTTGTTGTCTTTTTTTTTTTCGGGTTTCGTCCGGGACCCTTCCTAGGCTAATTTCGACGTCCTAGAAGCGTTTTTGACGTTCGTTTTTCGAAATTCAATCTTTTGAGTATAGTTTTGTTAATTGTACCCTTAATGCGCTTAAGTGCGAATATTATTGGCAATTCTATCATTCCCATTTCGTACGGCTCTTTAACGACGGAGTATCTGTGAGTGAACCCTTTCTAAAATGCATGTTTATTAGTAGAAATGCATACATGAAAAGCATGATTTAATGCTTACGTTTTATGAAACGTTGTATAGGTAAATTGGATTTACATTATATGATTATCATGCTATATTGAGAATATTTTGGAATACCATATTTTATCGAACTTATGTTCTTTGTAGTATATATGATGGATGACTATATACTATTTATGAACATGTTTTCTTCACACTTCTTTATAGTATATATGATGGATGACTATATGTTATGAAGATGTTTTGAGATATATGTACCTATGTTTGGAAAGACTATGTTCAATGATTTGTGCGTATCTAGTGGTAGATATATGGCTGAGGGAGACATATGGCTGGCAGGAGATACATATTGATGGCTTTGGGCCGAGAGATGTACGTACTGGCTTCGGGCCAAGAGATACTGATACTTGATACCATTAGTTAGCACACTATATACGAGATATGTTTCATGAAAGTTTTATAGCATGCTAGGGTTTTCGGAAAACCTATTACATATTATGCTATTGAGTTTTCATTAAATTTTGGGGGTTAGTATGTTGATAATTGTTTTAGTAATATTTATATATATCAACTTGGTCCACTCATGTTTGTTTTGCGCCCTCTCAGGACTTAGAATTGAGGCATACAATCCCGGTGTCAAGGCACTTCCGCATCGGCATCTTCGAGTCCTCTTGGTGTAGGACCCATTCTTTTATTCATTCAATTTTATATTATTCCCTTTAGTGTTCTAGTTAGATTGTATGTTTTAAACACATTCCTCATTTGCATTTTAATTATATTTAAATTTATAAGTCTTATTTATATTCATAGTTCTCATGCATCCTAATATGGCTTCGTCACCTTCGGGTATCGGCCAACACATGTCTACCCTATTGTTCAGGGAATATCAGGGTCAAGCGTGTCATGGAAGAGAGGGGAAAAGTAGGGTATGGCCCCCACTTGGCTCACACTCCAATGCCACAAAAGACAAAAGCAGAAATATCTTCCCGAAATGTGAAATTACCAAATTGCTCTTGACGTCCGTGTTTCTTAAATTCTTCGTTGTAACTCTGAATTCAGTTCTATTTGTGCCCACGCATTTGTATCATAAAGTACTCCTAAGATGTGTATGTGTGTCCTTGGGTCAAGCTCAAATAATAATTAATTAGGCATGAGGCCTAATTAATAAAATGCTAACATAGAAGTGCCTACTTGCCCACTTGCTTAACAAACCTAATGGATAAGTCATCAATATCACAGTTTGCAATCCGTAATACTGACAGCTCATTGTTTTCTCGATAAACAAGTAACAGATTCCCGAGAGTGCAAAAATACCATTTTGTCCTTCATTGGAAAATGTGCATAAATCGTCTGATTTACACCTTGTTCGCGCTCACATGTCTATAAGGACACGCCTACCTAGAAAGATGTGCAAAGGGACAAAAGAGTGATATGGACTCAAATGTCTATGAAAGATTTCCACGTAGGGTTTCCATTTAGCTTGTCAGGGGCATTTTCTTAATTTCTCAATGCCAAGGAATAAAATAAGATCAAATTTGGGACGAGTGTCACAATTTAACCCCCTTAAAGAAATTTTGTTCTTGGCAAGGTGGAACTATGAGAGGGATTTATTATTGGAAGCTGACAAGGAGAATTGGAATGTCTTCAAGGCGCACTTCGAGATTAGGTACTTGCCGTGGGAGTACCAAGCCCGGAAGGGAAGCGAATTCATGGATTTGAAGTAGGGCAACATGACGGTGTCGCAGCACAGCTCGAATAATGTCCAGGTGGATATACTGAGTCGACGTGTGTCATTAATTACTGCTGATCATGTTGATATTGGGTGCCAAACGCCGATGGAGTTATGGGAATCCATGCTTTCGGATGAATAATATAGATTGTGTACGTTCAACACCCGTTATTTCCCAATGAATGATATATAGCTTAGGCACTTTGTGAACTCTAGTTTTCTTCTTCCAAGTCATTTCACAAGATTCAAACATGTTAAAACACGACATGTTGTCAAGTGTACGCTTCATTTTTGGCGATGACTAACTGATCACTTCTCCATTTCTATTATTCTAGGTACGTAAGAAGGAAACTTAATAACCAGCTACTAGCTAGGGTTTACTCCCCATGATGTTGTTTAATTTGATCGTACTACACAAACGTGGTCACATGATTAGTAATCCACAGAGAGGCATTTTTTTCCCTATTATTGCGAACCTTTTGACATGAATTTCTCTTTCAATCTCTTGAAACTTTCATACTAACAACTAAGGTTTGACGTATCACCTTCATCTGTGCTGAAAATTTCTAATCGGACCGGTGAAGACTATCTCTAGTCCCTTTCACGAAGAGCTTCAAGGAACCTTCATACCGTAAACTTGAACCACAGCAAAAATAATTAAATAAGTTGTATTACTCTATTTACTTGAGAGGCAGGCAAAGACGTTATATAGATGTGGATTGTGATAAAAAATTGCATTGTGAAACTGAAATATATATAGATACTAGATAGGTTGGTTTACGGCAGCTCATGGTTTTTCTAAAGAATTTCCCACTGCATCGAGCGTTCTTCCAATCAAGCAGCACCACGGACACAGAGAGTGAAAGGCATATATACACGTATTTGTTATTTTAATCTCAATTTGCACCATAAAATAATTGATTAAGACGAATTAAATTTTGACTTTGTCCATTTGTAATCTCTTAAGCACGGCATCTGTGCGTATACCACTCTGTCTTTTGACACTCTGGTTATAATTAAAATAGATACGGACAGAGAGAAAAACTAAATTTAAAGAGAGACTTTATTTCTTGCGGTATGAGTTAGATATATACAGTTTTGGGTTGGAGCAAAAGAATGTGGGAGAATGTTGAGCAACAGATTGTGTGTTTTGGGCAGAAGAATTACCAGAAGAGTGGTTAAAGAGTATATACAGGCTCACTTCTCGTCCTCCAAACTCCAAACCCACAGAGCTCAGATTGTTCCAATTTTGTGCCCTAGCATAAAGGTGTGTATGAACCAAAACACCTTTTTTACTATCTGGGTTTTGTGTGTTTTTGTGTAAGTTTTCTGTTGTGGATTAAGATTTTTTGCGATTTAGGGTTTGTTGTGATTTAGTGGTTCGTTTAACCGTTGAAATGGAGACATGTCTTGGGATTCATATTATCATGTTCCAGGGTTTGGGGCTTGAGAGTTGTCCTCCTGTCTGAATCTATAATTTTTGGGTAAACTAGAGAGATCATCTACTTGAACTGTAATTTTATAGATCACATGATGTGGTAGATGATTGAATTCCTTATTTAAATCATTATAGAAGGCACTCAACTATCAACCGTCACATCATATCATTTATAAAATATAATCTAAAAACAAGATCTTCCTAACATTTTTCATAAATTTTCAGCAAGCTATGTTTATCCATTTCCTAGTTGTTTGTCCAAGTTTCTTAGTACCCAATGAACAGTACCTTGATCCTTTTTCTTCTATATATTTTCTATTTTCTAGCATGTTTAGTATCTTTTTGGATCCATTTATTTTACTTTATTTTTGAACCTCATAAGCATCAAGAATTTTTATTATACATTCATCCTTTTTCTAAGCTACGGATTAATTTCAAATTAAATACAGAACAACCCCTTCGTTTTCTTAAACAAATCTTCTGTCTATATGAGCAGTGGTGAAAACTGGTTTACACAGCATGGGGAGGAACACTGGGGAAATTGTTTCACATGCAAGCTGATAATCCAGATCATCTTCTTAATTAAGTGTTGTAAGTATGTATTTTAAAGTTTTAATAATTTTAATGGCGATGTGAAAACAAAATAAATATAGAGCATGACGAAGGGACAAGGTCAACGCAAAAAATCACTTTTTGCTTCTATACACAAACCACCCGTAGATGACGGCAAACCAAGAAGTTTGGTTATTAAGGTACATAAACTCTAAACTCTCCCAAACCATATATTTTATGATTTTTCTATAGTGCGGTTAACAAAAAAATTTAAAATGCAGATATATTATCGATATTGTTGATACATCAACTTTATAGTTGTCAATATACGATTGATATGGTTGACATAAAAAGTGCAATTAACTACACTGTATAATGACTGATGTAATTATCGTATATATTTGATTTGAGATATCTCAAGGAAATATGTATCTTATTAGATTTGTTTGGTTAAACTTGCAACAGAAAGCACATACTATGATTCCTGCACGCATTGTAGCCGAGGCCATATCAACCCTCCATGGCGATGGTCTAGAGCTCAGATGGTCAGGCCCTATTACACCAACAGAAAGGGAATATGTCGGACAGTATGTGTTAGCAAAGTACCCACAGTATGCTGGTCTTGTTGAAGGAGAACAGTTTGATCTCTCTAGAACTTGCGTCATCAAAGAATCTCCCGAAACCATGCCCGACGACAAGAGGAAGTCACCAAGGGAGTCCTGCATGCAATTCGCCGGAAGCAACCTTCCCGACTTGGACAGGACCCAGTTGGAGCCGTCAAGGTTGCTTGACATCCTCACCAAGAAATGCTCCTTCCCGGGAAGTTTCATCTCCATCCCTGAGATACAATCGTGAAACAAGGTCTTGAAGCACTGTGGATTGACTGATGACGACTACCTTGTTCTCTTCACCCCAACCTACAGGGACGCCATGGTATTGGTGGCGGAGAGCTACCCGTTCTATCAGGGAAACCACTACATGACCATTCTCGGAGAACAAGACTGCATTAAGGGTTTTGCCGGTTACAAGGAATCCGGAGTGATTCCGGCACCAGAGAGTTGGTTGGATTTGAGGATCAAAGGTTCACAACTAAGCCAGTATTTCAGGAAGAAAAGTAAGCCCAAGCTCAAAGGTTTGTTCTCTTATCCGGCTTATGTAAACGGGATTCATCACTCATTACATTGGGTATCAGAAGCACACTGGAACTCATGGCATGACTGGTCATCGGAAAGGATCACTTGAATCTCATGCTTCACCGGCCAGACCTGGTTCTGTGCACGATCGACAACTCTCACCGGCAGACTTCGAAGATCACTTGCCTTTTGGTTAGGAAGAAATCCTTTGATACTACAGTGTACAATATGTTAAACAGAAGCAAACCCAGTTATGCGGTAACATTTTTTTTTAACTGTGAAAAGGAGAATATGAACACGAGCGAATAAAATCAACACACTAAAGTCAGCTAAGTCAAAAGCGGTTTTCGCACCCGCGGTAAATAATAACTAGGAGGTTCTGGCTTTATAACAGTAGAGATTTACCTCGGTGCTCTTGGTTTGTTAAGGAGCGCCATGATTATGGTTAGCTGGCAAACCAATCTTCGTCGTTTGAATTAGAAAGAAAAAAGTGAAAGACATGGGGAATGCGGTTCCAGTTATGGTATATTCTGAAATGCTTTTACACATGACATGAAAACGCACATTACGCAACTCACAAAGTACTTACAGGACATGAGCACCAAAAAGCAGGACAAAGGAATAGGAACAAGCCAGAGCCTCTCGAAGTATAAGTCAGTATCCTCCAAGGTGCATGGCAATTTGGCATCCTATACCAGTCGGATATGGGTTTATATGGGGGGCTCACCGGATGCACGAACAACTAACTGTGAAACAAATACCTATTGTACATCTGATGCGGCCATATAATGACATCCAAAAGATTCAAGAGAGTAACACATCACATTGCACAAGCAAAGTGGTTTCTTTAATAAAAAGAAAGACATCTACTCCATGTTGAATCTATTGGCACAATTCTATAGCGTGTTTATGTACGTTGAGATAACATATAATCTACTCTGACCATTCTGAACAAGAACTCCGAATGTTTCTTTCCAACTTTGGCCAACGCACAGCAAAATTGGTACACAGTTGGGATCATTAGCCCACTTTTGCATTTTCCACCTCACGCTCCTGGGAGGAGAAAAGTATGGAAGTTGAAATAAGGAACACTGCAAAAATTGCAACATACATTAGGCAAAGAGTGCAAGAACAGAGATGCCATGCACATGATTACTAGCAGGAAGATATGGGGAACACTTCAATCCAATGTGAGATAAATTTTAGGGTAGACAACCGCTACCCACGAAATGCAATATGATGCATTCCATCATTTTAACTGTGGCCACTGGGATGAATAAAATTTCAGTAATGGTGCTCATATATCAAATTAGTTACCAAGATCTTGGTGTCAAAGCCCATCATATTTTGAAGTCATATTGTTCCATGACCAACTTACTTGTAAACATTGCTCAATAGGAAAACAGGATGCACACAACCACTCATCTTGCAAAGTCATATTGCTGTATGTCCTAAATTTGGTTTGGTGTTTCCTTATTTCTTAAGAGGAAATATAACAACAAAAACATTTGATGACACGACACAAGATTCATAACTGTTACATATATATACATATATATAAACAGGAGATGCTTCAGGCAAGGGTTTGGTGTATATAACTGCATGCTGCAAAAGGTTTTCCAAACATGAGTTTTAGTGTACAACCTTTGTAACCCGTTTTCCATATATGCATCAAGGGATGAAATCACCCGAGGCATCTGCTCCAACAACTGCATACAGAGGAGAGGAAAATTAAATTTACATTGAATGTTTATAGCCAGCATCATCTTGGCGAAACTAGTCAAAGTACCTGTCCAGTATTCTTTATTGTAGATGTTTTTAGCAAAAGGTTCTTTGGCAGCTTTGTCAGTTGGGCCTGCAGAAGAAAAGAAATCAGAAATATAACCAGGTGCAGTAAGCAAATGAGGCAAAGTCATATCATGGCTATCACTCATACTGCATGGTGAAGAGCCTTTTTTTGGTACTGTTCAAAAGTAACTTGTGTATCCAGATGATACGATGAAAATTAAGGGTGAGAGAATAACTACTTCTTATTGCATCGTGACATATGGATAAAGACACATTTCATCTCTGGAAACTTGGAACAAAAAAAAAACTTTGCTAGATATATCTCATTGATAAGTTGACAACCGAACAAGGATTACTCCAAAATTACAAAAACAGCAAAACACGAACCATACCAAGAGCCCAAATTTATGGTAACTAGTGCTCCTCCACTCCCATCATCCATCCCAATGTGTTCATTACTCCATCACAGTTTCAAGGTAAGGTCATGGTTAATATATTTTAAGGCCCTACTCCTCACCACAACCCAAAACGTTATTAACACTCGTCTTCAAAAGCAAGAAAATTCAGATACCCTCTAAAAAACCTGCTTACATGTACCCATCAGTTCTTGTTTCATCAAAATCTATTTTAATAAACCGTCCTCCGGAAAAGCACATTCTAAATAAGCACTTCAGTCTTCTATTGATCCATCAACTATTTGTATCAGCTTCAAAATCCTTCCCAAGGAAGGGCGTGTCTGACAATTTGTTGATTGGTTTCTAGTATTTCAGTTCTCTACCTATATGTGCCCCCTTGTAATAATACCAGCCTCTTGTCCGGAAACTCTTGTATTTTTCTACACATTCTAAGCATGCAATTCACTCTTTAATATATCCATCAAATATTTGTATCAGTTCCACAATCCTTCACGAGGAAGGAGTGTGTCTGATAATTTGGATATTTCTTAGCCTTTCAATTCTTTCAGTGTCCATTATCACTGTCCTTTTTACACATTTTTATTTCATAAAATCTCTGCCTCCAGAATGGTACAATCTTTGAGGTAAACCACCACAGCCACATATAATTCTCTTTCAAAATCTACTTTCACAAATACATTTCCCCCTTTTTTGCTTGGTATAACCAAAGTTCAGAAGAAGAAAAAACTAAACATCTCTGTAATACATTGACCCTTCCCAAAATCTAACCAAAACCCAGTTGCCAAATTGGTTTAATTTTCGAGAAAAAGAATGATAAAGAAGACCCATTAACTAATTAAACCACTGCCAACTGAAACTTGCCATCCTCTGCCACATCAATATTATGAGATAGAAACTGACAAAAAGAAAGAGAGAGAGAGAGAATAGGAGTATGCCTGGGAAGGGGAGGATTGCTCCATGAGATGGAGGAGGCTTGAAGTGGATAGTACGGCCTGAGAGATCTGATCAGATACCATGGCTTTTGCTGTATTCCCTCCGCTGTTTCCACCTCCGGTTGTGGACAGCACGGGAAGCGTTATTTAGACCATCTCCAATGTTGAACTAAAACCTAAAAATATTTAGCCTAAAAAATTTAGGTTTTAGCCCAGAAATAGCTTTTCTACTCCAACCCTTCTGGCTTAAAATTTTAGCCCCAGATTATCAAAGAATGAATTAAGGCTATTTTTTTTTTTAAATTAACCATTTTAAACAAAAAAAAAAATTATGTAGACTATCCTAAATTAATTTTATGAACATTTTAACCTAAAAATATTTAAATTCCGATAAATTTTGAAAAATCACTAAATCAATACATGAAAATCAAGATAAACCACATAAACTTAATACCAACGACATTTAATAAACCACATAAACTTAAAAAATAAAAAAGACAATTAATAAACCACATAAACTTAAAAAATAAAAAAAACAATTAATAAACTACATAAACTTAATAATGATATTCACCATCTTGACTTGGTGATGGACTTGAGTGATAGTCTTGAGATGAATCATCATCTTGAAATATACTCCTTGTGACATTCCTTCGTAAAATTTCCTTTTGCTTACCACGTAAGTATCTCTTCCTCTCTGGAGTGTATTTGTCGAGGTCCTCCATTATCAAATTAGTTTCGTACCTTTCTTGCTCCCTATCCCCTTGTTCCTTCATGGCCAAAAGCATTTGGGCCGATTCTTCTTGCCGACGACACTGGATTTCGTTCATTATTGCCATTTCGCTAGCAAATTGTGCACGTGTCGGATCTTGGGACTTCCTTTTTCTCTTTGCTTCCTTTTGCTTATCTCTACCCGGGGGCCTTGCAAAAGAAGAAGTTGGGGTCATTTGTTCGACACCTTCATTGTCAGCAAAATTCACACCTTCATTGACATCATTTGGGGGTAGGGCTTCATTATGAAATAATCTTCCACATTGTTGGTTCGCATCGGTTCCCCACCTCGGACAGTCCTTGAAGATGTTCCAAGCATGATGCAACTTAAAAGCTTGATTTTTTTGTGTAGTTCTTGTCTTGTAAATTGCCATTGCTTTGTCACCCTATGCAACAAATACATAAAAACAATTAGTTGCAAAATACTATTATGTACATGACAACTAAAATATCAACAAATAAACTCACAATTTCTGAGGCGCCCCTTCCACTAGGCATGTCAACCATGGCTCTCTCCAAGCTTCCTTTCCACAAAGTGCACGCTTTGTTGATAATCTTTCACCGATCATAAACACCACCAACTTCCCTTCGACTGGCGTTGGAGTTTTCATGGAACTTATCAACGATTTTACCCCATAAAACCTTTCTATTTTGATTGGTGCCGACGGCACCATCTTCGCTAATCGAAATCCATGCCAAACATAAAACAATATATTCGTCAAAGGTCCAATTACGACCTCTAACATGCTATTTTGCCATCTTGAAAATTCTGGAAATGAGAATAAATGGTATAAAGAAAAATTGGAAGAATTGTAGGATAAAAGTGAGTTTTGTGTGGATGTTTGAACAAATACATAGGTATTTATAGAGTTTTTGGTTGAATTTTAGGTTAAATAATTTTTTAAAATTATTCTAGCCGTTGGATTTAAATTTGGACCGTTAGATCTTTTTTTTTTACCGTTATATTTAATTATATTTGATCTAAGCCGTTGGATTCAATAAATACATAAATATAAAACTAAAAAAAAAAAAAAGTTTGAACCTGGACCGTTGGATTAACCAACGGCCCATTTAAAGTCACCATTGGATTATAAAAAGTAGCCGTTACGCTGCTTTTGCTTTGAAAGCTGAGGGAACAGCCCCACGTGGGGTTGTCGGCTGATTGCAAAAAGGGGCGCGTGCGCGTCTGGTGGAAGGGAAAGTGGGCTTCACAGCCCGTGTTTCACTCACAACATGTAGGGCCCATAATGACTTTTGGCCTAAAAACAGGCTGGTATTTGGCCTTCTTTTAAGTTTTGGGTTTTAGGTTTTATTTAGCACATGGGTTCGAGTGGATTTTGAGGGGAAAAAAAAGGGAAATTTTAGGTTATAAGCCATTGTTGGAGATGGTCTTAGGGTTTAGGGAGTAGGATTCTATTTCCTCTAAATTCTCACCCACCTCCTCTTTCCTCCCCTTTTCTTCCCCCTCTTTTCTTACGTTTCTCTTTGTCCTCCTCTTCTACAGAGAAAACATATTGGATTGCCGTGTTTCTATAAAATAAAAAAAATAAAAAAAAAACTGCTTCTGATATACTTTAAGAATAATCAGCTATAAAACAAACTAGATGAGCGTTTGGTCAACTATATCTTTAAAGTGTTGTGAGTAAGAAAACCACTGTAAAAGTATTTGGTAAATTTTAATGTAAAGGTAGTATAATTGTATTCAATGACAAAATAGACATAGTAGTAGGAGTGGGGGAGAAGACAACAAGTGGAGGTGGTGGTTGCGGTGGTGGTGACGATGATGGTAGCAGCAATGGTAGAGGTATAGTGGTGATTGTGGTGTAGAGGTAATAATGGTGCTAGAGGTGGTGGTAGCACCAATGGTGGCAGATGTGGTGGCAACGATGGTGGTTATGGTTATGGTGGAGGTAAGGTGGGTGCAAGGTTAGTGTTTGGAGTGGTAGATCATTGAGGTCACTTTATTCGCTAAGTGACAAAATGTGTGCGGAAGGCTAAATAATATATATATTTTTAAATAATGAAGGTATTACAACAATTAATAATATTTACTAAAAGCTCAACTTCGGTTTTTATTAAACCAGTTTTTAAAAACAACCTACAAGCTGCTTTTAGAAGTTACTATTTGCAGGTCATTACTTTTAAAATAAGCAGGATATCTTACTTTTATCAAACATTTTTTTTACTGCTTAACTTTAAAGTGAAGCAGTTTTTGATAAAAAAAAAAAAATACCAAACCAGACCTTAATATTAGTGATATTTGGCTTAATAGTATATTCAAATACGTTTTTTTTTTTCTAAAAAAAAAAGATAACTAAATTTTGTTTTGCCGAAATCAACTTGTTTAGTGACTTGGCCTAACCCAAGTTTTAATGAGCCAGGGTCGTTGCTGAGTTGGGACTAATGTTTTATTAAGTGGGTTGGTCCAAACACGATTCGTTAATTATGTGGGCTGGCTCAAGCATGGCTCAAGCCCACATGGGTTGACTTTAAATGGGTTGGCACGTATGACACCTCTAATTTGGATATCAGAGTTTTATAGTTTAACTACCAATTCTAACAAAACTTTTAGCTAAAATACTATATTTTAGCTTAGGTACCAATAGAAAAGCTAACCAAAACAATTCTACAAATACTATTATAATTTAAAATAATTACAAGACTGTTATTCAATCCTACCATGTTTTTTGACTAGCCAACTTTTTCCAGCGATCAATCGCTCAATTTTTCCACCGAATTTATTGGTTAATTTTTCCAGTCTAAAGGCCATTGTCCGATAGTGACTTTACGAATTTAGGCTAAGTCACACGGTGAGTATCCTATGATAAATTGAAATCGAAATTGACATTCATGTCATTTGAACTAAAACTTCTTACTTACAATTAAAAATCGGTGTTTTGATTAGCCCCCTCGTTTTTAGGCTTCTTAGATTGTAAATCTATTTGTTTTAACAATTTGACCAAAATTCTCCTATGTCAAAACGCCCCTAAAAAAAAAAAGAAAAACTGGAACCTCAATAGCAATGTCGACCTTGGTACGAAAAGAGGGCGTTTAAAACTTACAAGAGGAAATCAATATGATTAATATCGTTAAATTAAAATTCTTCTTATCTTGACCAATTAGTATTATTCTCTAAACCCTAAATTAAAATTCTTGTTATCTTGAACAATTAGTATTAGCAAGAATCTAGGAACATCCTTTCTTTTGGTGTGAAGAAAATGGACAACAAATTCTAATTTATTAAAGGCTATGGCAGGTCATGTAATTTAGGTACATTAAAATGGGTTAATTAAAATACATATGGCACCCATATTATAGGAGAATTTTGGTCAAATTGTTAAAACAAACAGATTTACAATCTAAGAAGCCTGAAAACGGGGTGTTTTGATATAGGCGCCTTGCTTTTGAATTTTTTAGACTAAACATACACTCTGTTTAAAATAATTTTAAATTTTCACGACTTCTCCTGAACATTTCATTTTCTTTTTTTTCTTTACCTATTATCCCTATATCTATGCATTTTTTTTAATTGTTTGTTATAATTTTTATTTTTTTTGTGAATATAGTAGAATATTTATAAAAGAAATTGTTAGATTTCATTATTTGAAAAGACAAAGCACATAATAAAGGTTGTTTATAGTGGATTTGATTTTTTATATTTCTCAGTACATTTGGAATGTAAATGTACCAAAAGGGTTATCTGATACAAACATTTGGTTTTGTGGTACATTTGGGATTTTTCGTACATTTGGTTTTTTGGTACATTTGGAATCTAAACTTACCAGAAGGGTTACCTGACAATGGGCACTTTGGTTTTATGGTACATTTGGTTTCTTGGTACATTTGAAATCTAAACGTACCAAATGAGTTACATAACAATGGGTACATTTGGTTTTATGGTACATTTAAATTTTTGGTACATTTGGTTTCTCAGTACATTTGAAATATAAACATACCAAAAGTCGATACTTTTGCTCTCAAATGTACCATAAGTTTTAAGTATAATTTTTATATATCTATACGTGAAATTTAATAACTTAATATAGTTTTCTTAGGAAAAAAAAAATGTATTGAAGACTTTTTACTGAAACGTTTTTAATAGAAAGAGAACTTTTTTTTTAATACTGATAGTCTGATAATGAGGAAATGAGGAATTAGTTAATTAATTTTTTATTTTATTTTATTAATAAATGCCATTTAATGCGTAGAAGGGGATTGACAAAATTAAATTCCTATATTATAGGCAATTAGTTGCTAAGCTACCTTATGTAGTTATGCCTCTATATAAATGCATTTAAATTAAATTCCTATTTGGTACGTTTTGGTACGGTTTTTCTTTGAATATATATTTTTTTTAGCCTGGTTTGACACGATT